TTTGAACATACCCTCCAATCATTGATGTCCATAGTACTATATCAGGTTCTTGTAAATGATCAAACCCTTTTCGAGCATCATCTAAGGAGCCACATTTAGCATACATGTCAACTAAAGCAGTCATTATGTAAATTTGATGTTGAAACCCCAATTTTATTGAGTATGCATGTGTCTCTTTTCCTTCTTCTATAGCTAAACCATCGCTACAAGCATTAAGGACCCCAACAAGTGTAAATTCACTAGCGGTTAACCCATTGAAATGCATTTTTGAGAACAATTTTAATGCTTTTTCACAGTCGCCTCCCTGTGCATATCCAGTGATCATTGCAGACCATGTAATGGAGTTCTTGTTGTTTGATGACTCAAATGCCTTGATAGCTTCATCCAAGCTTCCACATTTTGAATACATTGTGACGATTGCATTACCTACAGATGCATGAGACAAAAGGCCGTGTTTGAGTCCTAGACAATGGATTTGTTGTCCAATGTGAATGAATTCAGGCAAAGTAAATGCACTTAAGATGCTTGTGACTACAAATTCATTGACGTGCTCCTCTTCTTGAGCTACCAACGCCTTGAAAAGTTCCAATGCATGGTCACAAATCCTCTGCATTGAATACCCGGAAATCATAGTAGCCCAAGAAATTGAATTTCTCTCTGGCATTTCATCAAACACCTTACGGGCATCGTCAACAAACCCCGACTTACAGTACATGTTTAACAAAGAACTACCAACGAAAATGTCCTCACACTTTCCCAACTTTAAGGCAACTGTATGGGCTTGTTTCCCTCCATATGAATCCATTAAAGCTGAAGCAGCGGTAAATAAACCGGCAAAAGTACGAGCATCGGGTAGCACCATATTCTCTTGGCTCATCATCTTCTTGAAAAGTTCCATGACAAGGATAGAATTCTGACGACCACCCAGTTGAGAATATCCACTGATTAATGAGTTCCATGAGACAACGTCCTTGTTTTCGATGCTTTCGAAAGCAAGATGAGCTTCGGCTAAGAGATGGCATTTGGCGTAGAAGTTAACGAGACTATTGGCAATGTAAGAGCAATGGGTGGAGCCGGTTTTGATGATATGAGCATGGAGTGTTCGGCCATTTGGGATGTTTTTCTGTTGGGTGTATTCGAGGAATTGGGTGAAGATAGATCGATAAGTAGGAGCTGTTGTCATGAACTTTTTTTATATCAATAATCAAAGGGGTTTAGTGCGAGCTTATTGTTTCTATTTTGTATTGTATTGTATTCAATTTTCACTACCGGTTTGGGGAAAATCGGAAAAAACCAACTCCGATTTTATGTTGTAATTGCTTCAATTAGGTTTTCCTTGTGTGGATGCAGTATTTTTAATCTTCTGGGGTTTTAATTTTTTAAGGGGTTTTAATTTTTTAAGCTTAGCAAACAAAAGGTCATTCTGCTTCTGTTTACTCAGTAATTGCTTCTGTTTATCTTCTAACAAAGTACAGGTGTTTCACCGGAATAAACAGACTTTAGCATAAAGCAAAGGTTTTGACATAAGCCACTGCAGAAACAATAGATATAAACTTCAAAAACATGAATATAAAGTATGCTGAATTAACAAAAAGGATTTTCACAAAAAGGCAATTGCCCTTCATATATAGTAAAAAAATAAGCATACAGAAACAGAGCTTAATACCAACTTTGAAATATAATGCGTCCCTTTGGCTCTCTTCCTTCTTTGTATTGCTTCTAAAAAACAGGCAGAGCTGCTTTTGTTTGTGGAGAAAACTGATGACTGTCAAAAACCAATTTTTAACCGTCACAAAATAAAACAAAAAAGAATTTTACTATATTTCACTTGTATAATTGGGTTGAATTTTAGACCAAAAAGTCCTAATAAGTAAAAAAAAAAATTGAAGTACAATGCTTTGATTTGGTAATTTTTTTACGGTTAATATTTTAATTTGAGGAAAAGAATAACAAATTATAATGTTGTAATAAACATACATGTGATTTTTTTGCTTTAGGTAAAAAACAATCTTTTTTCAATGTAGCTCCTATTGGAACCTGTCATTAGTTTTGTTCCCTGGATTGTTACACCTAAAGACGCACCCTTTTTTTTTATAAAAGGACAATTTGTCCTACTAGAACACGTCAATTATGAACATTACTTAAGGGGTATTTTAAGGCATTTACTTGATGTCCATATGTTGGTGTTATCAATTATAATGATTCTTGTGTCAAGTAAGTAAAAGATATCAACTCAAATTACACAAAAGAGTTGCTTAATGAACAAGGTATTCACTAGTTGTCAAAATCATGGGTGTAGAGATAATGACGATGTTAGAATTATATTTATGTCAACTACATGCAGCTTGTATGTTCTAATTCATCTAAATTTCAAGACTCAAGGACGGATTTCAAATGCATAGGAGACTGATGGGATGCCATGAAACTGTTTCATTGTTCTTGATATTGGGATAAATCTCATAAATTATAGTTTCCCAGTTAAGTTACGGTTTTATTTCCCTGTAAGTAAGGTCATAACCCACAAGGGTTTATAATTTCGTCTCCATGGGATATGATATACAGTTTGCTTAAACTATTGGAAGAATTCTTTTTCGATTAAGTAATCAGTCTATCCAAGATTTGATTGCAAAAGTTTTGCAAATATGTTTCTTCTTAGATAACCTTTTTGATATACTTCCAAAATTGTTTTCAGATCGCGAAATTACATTAAAACCTACCCACTCGACCAGATTTGATGCCAAAAAGGTAAATTAGGGAGGTATCAAAAACAATTGACTTGAACAAACACCAATTTTGATTGTGTTATAGTGTCAATTTCCATAAAAATTATTGTAAAAAATGACACAAAATGATAATCAATATTATTTTTCTTAGTCGTGTATCTTTTAATTCTACTTAATATATACTTATATATCCGTAACTTCTTTTTTCTTAATGTTTTCTTGTACCATAAAAGTGAATTTAAAGCAAGTGTTCCTGTCCAAAACTCTTAAAGTTAATTGATAAAAATGATTGAAGGAATCCTACTAGTCCTTTCACATTATCACAATCAAAATAGGATTATGCATCGGCCCTCTCCAAGTTCAATCTTATATGCAAAATATTCATTCACCCGTCTATCAAAACTTCTCTTATACATCAAAACTACATTATTTTTCTAATAATCAAAATATATGTTTTCAACAAACGATTATAATGTAAACATGTAATCATCAACCATTTTCAATAAACAATTAGTATTGTGTCATACAGATCTAAAGAATTTAAATATTGAAATTACTTGGGAGGTTTAGGAAAAAAAAAAGTCTAGGGTGCGTTTAGTTGCGGAAAAATGAACCGTTTTCTGGAAAAATTTTCCAAGAAAAATGAGAATTTTGAAAACGCGTTTAGTTCGTCTATTTTTCTAAATTTTTCACGGAAAATGAAAATTTTCCGTTTTCTAAAAGTACAAACAAGTTGGAAAATTTTGGAAAACTGATAATCATTGTTTTCCATATTTTTCTAATTCCAAAATTTTTCTATAAACACACACCCACTTCACCTCATCCACTTCTACTTACCCCCACTTTAACACCCCTCACCCACACACACACACACATACATACCCACCCCCACACACACACCCGCACACACACACATCAACCCACAAACACACACACATACACACACACACCAACCCACACACACACACCAACCCACACACACACATACATACCCACTCACACACACACCCACCCGCACACACACACACACATACATACCCATCCACACACACACCCACAAACACACACACATACATACCTACCCACACACACTCACCAACATACACATGCACACACCAACCCACACACACACACACACCTACAAACACACACACTTACACATACATACCCACCCACCCCCCACACACACATACACATACATACACACCCACCCACAAACAAACACACACACACCAACTCACAAACACACACATACATACCCACCCATACACACCCACACGTACATACCCACACACCCACACACACCCACACCTACCCCCACCCTCACAGACACACACACCCACACACACACAAACCTACACCTATCCCCACAAACACACATACACACACAAACACACACTCGCACCCCCACCCACCCAACACCACCACAACAATCACCGACCTACCATCACCACCACCACCACTAACCCGTCACTAGCACCACCACCATCACCACCACTGATAAAATTGACGCCGCCACCACCATCGCCTGTCATCACCACCACCGCCGCCGACCCGCTACCGTCACCGCCCCCACCCACACCCTACTACCACTACCGTTTTTTAAAAATGAAAACTGATAGAAAAATAGACATTTAAACACGTTTTCTAATTTTCTAAAACTGAAAATGAAAAATGAATAAGTTTAACTAAACGCGTTCTCTAAATTTTTCAATGAAAAATGAAAACGGAAAACGGAAAACGAAAATCGAAAAGGGAAAACAAAAAACGGAAAATGAAAATTGTTTTTCCGTAACTAAACGCAACCCTAGTTGTTTATGGTTATATGGAAATCCTTAAATAATATCCAGTTAAGGTTGTTTAAAAAGAAAATCAATTTAATAAAAAATATTTTTTTCGACTGTCAAACAGAGGGGGAAAAGTATAGTGGTTACTTTTTATAAGCATTATTCTCCTACAAAATTATAAAAAGAAAATGGACAGGGTTCATATTATTTCATCACCAAACCCATCCTTCTGATATAGTCCTTCGGTTATTGGAGCAGATCAAATATGCTCTCATACAACAACTCAACAATAGCATTCAAATTCCCATAACAAATATGCTCATAAATCATAATTAGCTATAAACCAAACCACTAAAAAGACCTACTCCATAGTACCTCATCAGCTCCACTTCTCAATTCTCATCACATATATAAATATGTCCATATTCGTCCTTCTCCTCATCATCAAAACACAAACTCTCTATCTATTCCTCAATACAACGCCACCCAAATGGCCCTCTACAACCCTTCTCCCCTTCTCAAAACTGCACTTTGCATCTTTTTACTCTCAATCTCTCTGGAATATTCTAGGGGGACCCGCATCCTCACAGACACAACCCCATTTTCAACCAACCAACACGACTCCACTGATCCAATAGACGACTCTGATACCCCTGACGTGACCCCTCAAGTGGACCCCACCCCCACCGTCATCACACCTGCACCACTCGTCAGTCCTTCCATAACAACCCCAGCAGTAAAAAATCCAATTGTTGGCAATGGTGTCACGACACCGGTGACAACACCCGCAGGTGGGTCTACATCGGTTGTTGGAATTGGTACTGGAATTGTACCAGCAACCGGTGGAGCAGATCATCCAACGATGAGTTTCTTTATGCATGACGTCATCGGAGGGTCCCACGCTACCAGCAGGGTGGTCACCGGAATCGTAGCCACCTCAAGCGCAAACACTGTTCCCTTTTCCACGCCCAACAGTCAAGTTTTTCCAATCACCGGCGGAATCCCACTCAACAACATCAATGGCATAGTCAACAACAACAACCTCCCATTCCTAGCCGGATTCAACGGAAACAACCCTAACAACCCTAATTCCAACATTGTCCTACAAAACACCGGAAACAACAATGTCGTAAACGGCGGAAACAACTTACCGTTTGTTGCCGCCGGTCAACTACCGGCCGGAATCACCCTCCAACAACTCATGTTTGGGTCAATCACGGTCATTGACAATGAGTTGACCGAAGGACACGAGCTTGGAACCGGGGTGATTGGAAGTGGACAAGGGTTTTACCTCGCGAGCTCGTTAGACGGGTCTAGTCATACGTTTGCGCTTACAACATTGTTCCATGGTGGGGACCACGAGGTGGATGACACGATTAGTTTCTTTGGGGTCCACCGGACTGCTTCGGAAATCTCGCATATTGCTGTCATTGGTGGGACCGGAAAGTATGAAGAGGCTAAAGGGTATGCCACCATTGAAAGTCTTCCTCAGGTGGATGAACATACCACTGATGGCGTTGAGACCATTGTTAATGTCAAGGTCTACCTTACTACACCATGAAGTTGATCTATTGATCTTGATCTTTATCTTGATCTTGATCTTCATGTATTTTGTTTAATTTCTGTTTTTTTTTTTTTATTGGAGTGCTTTCAGCTTCAAAAGTGGAATGATCGTGTTATTATATATAGAAAAATTAAACATTGACCAACTCTGCTGTTAACTTGTCAAACAAAAAGATTTCGAGTTCTGTGACGAGAGAATCAATTTCGTCCAACGGATCAAACCATGGTTCTCTTCCGACCGCTTTCTCAGACACTCCATCGTTGACTCCTTTTTCTTGATTCAGTAAAAACATCGATAGTTCTTCCTCGATGACGTCTCTTCTCGACATATTTCTCATCTTTCTCTGTAATAAATTAGGGGAAACACGAATATCAATCCGTGGTCTGAGAATCTCGATCATTCCTGAATTTATACGATCAAATAGGAGCTTCCTCTCAGACTTTTGCCATAATTCCTGCTTCCCGTATTTCTTCTCTAATGTTTCAAAAATTGAATAGCTCGCCATACATTCAGAGGAATGCCATTTTTCAAAACGTATCTCCACGTCGCCATCTTGAAACGCTGATTCGTCTAATACGTCTACCATGTATGAAAAATCGCGACTTTCTGTGGCTCCGAATGGTGTCATTGACCCTAGGGTTTGACCAGTACATGATCTTTCGTCGTCGCTGGATGTAGCCATTTCAGGGCCGAAATCATCTTCCATCCATAGATCTGTGAAATATTAGCATACATGAGACTACGGATGTATAAAGCTTATGATACAGAAAAGATTTGGTTTGTGTACACTAACCATGGAGATCGTTGCTAGAACTTTCGCAGTACTCGGAGTTTGACGAATTGTCTTCCCTGAACGGGGGTTCGAGAACTGAATTTGGACTATGATGATAAGCTTCAATCTTGCTATCGGGATGTTCTTTGGTGTCACCATAAAAAAGATTCACCATCCTCAGTTCCTGCATCTGTGTTAGAACTTGCAACGAAGGGAGTTGCTGAATTTGAAACCAGTTGATTCTTCTTGGTGTTTGTATGCATAACGTTCACCAGTTTCCCAGAACCTAGCTTCACATCGGTCGTAGTCATTTTCACAGACTTTTTGGTCAAACTAGAAAAGTTCAAACGTTTGAATATTGGTAATTTGGTAGCAGAATCATATTTCCAACCTTCATTGCTGCTAATACCAATCGAACTTCCAAGTCTTGAGGTTGATTTTGTATTGTTCAAAGAAAACGATTCACCAAGATTACAACACTTTTGACGACTAGATTGACGTTCTTGAAAAACTCTGGTCATTTTGAGCCTCTCTAATAGTTGTTTCTTGGCTTCCCAGGCAAAAGTGGTCTGAGAATCAAGTAGAAAGGAAGGTCGGGAAGATTGTTGTGTATTTGCTAAGTTTGGTTTGAGAAAAATCTTCTTTCTGGTCAACACTGTGTCTGATTTCCCATTTTCTCTGTTGCTTTCAGAACTCAAAACTTTCTGGTCGACATAAGAATCATTTGTTCTTTGATTCACCCTTTTCTTGGATCCCAGAAGATTGTTTTGGGAATATGTTCTTGATCTCTTCCCTATAGAACCAGATTTCTGTAGATAGTTGTCAGACAAGACCTTTTGTTGCCTAGAAACAGGCTGCTGATGGGGTGGCGTTTCATCAAAACCCATCAATTTTGCAATAACGCTCGTCGTGCTTTGACTGTTCTCCATCACCTTCAACAAGTTCAAATCTGTGCAGAAAACATAAATATTTGGTATTAACCTAAATAATCTATAAAAGAATAGGCGGAAACCCCCCTAAATTGCGTGATAGAAACTATTATATGTATCTCAAAAGCAAAAACACAAATAGAAAACCATCCTCAAGATCATCAAATCTGAAGAAGGTTTCAATACAACTGTAAGCATTTGAGAAATACAACTTTCTTGTACACTTCATCAACTGAATTACTTCAGTATTTAAGAATTGAAAGCGAAATAAATCAAGAAAAACAAACCTTGTATGAGGGATTCTGCTTCTAAAACGACAGGTAAACAGCTGGATCTGTAATCATCACATCGTAATCGTTCCCACTTTCCGACTTTCGTAATCACCGACACTCGTATAAGCCATCATATTGAAACAATAAAGAGAAAGGAATTCGATGCTGTAACTGGAGAAATTATATCAAATCCCTACGACATTCATGAGGGGGTCGTAGATATGGAATGAATTCGACTAATCTGACGAGTAATAAAGCCAATTATGGGTATATGCGAAGAAGCTGGAATGCACAAGAGACAAAAGTAAAAACAAATGAAATTATAGAAAAATAATTTAAAGCTTATAAATTACACCTGATACAGGAGCGAGGAAGTAGGGTTTCGGTTACTTGAACTACATCACTGTACGCGCCCACCACCATTAATTTGGTGGTTGGTCAACGCCTTGCAGAATTGCGCGCCATAATTTTGGAGGGTAAAACTGGAACTGCAATACCCAGATTTTCTAAAATACCCCTCATGATTGTATAATATCTACGGGAGACCCTAGACTAAAGTTAAAAGAAGTTAAACACCTTGAATTATTATTGGAACAAAAAATAAGGTTGTTTGTCTTCAAAATATGGCCGAAAGGCAAATAAGGTTGTTAGGACTATATTTTTTTGTTAATTGATTTGTTTCATCTAAAATATATAATGATGTCTACCGATATATTTTTAATTGATTTGTTTTATTTAAAATTTGTAAGTCTACATCTATAACTTTTAATAATGTCCGCCAAAAAATATAATATTATATCCAAAAAATCCAACTCAAAGGGGTCCATATAGACACAGCATAACTCTATGCATCCTCGCCTTTGTGTATATCAATATTTAAAATTTTCACATAATGAAGACAAAACGACTTCTTGATTAAATCCTAACTTTTGAGGTGATAATCATCATAACTAATTGTTGTTGCATTAGTTTTGGACAAGCATCATAAACTTAAAGCATTACTAAAAGGAATTGATTAATGATGTGGTTTCAACTTTCCTCAACATGAGTTCAAAATTCAATGATACAATTGCAATGATGAACTAGGTAAATAGTTGTTCGCATAAACATTTGTTTTAGTTTTTTAATCAAATTTGCATTATTCGCCCTAGTTTTTTATGATTGAAAAACTTCTCTTTTTATATTAACGGGATGGTTTTTCAAGCGTTTTTAACATGTAGATTTCTCATGCTGCCCTTTAAAGAAAAGTTTGGAGATACATTGATGTTTGGAACATTGGAAGTAACTTGTTGAAAAAGAAAAAAGAAAAAAGAAAAAAAAAAGTCAGCTGACTGACAGTCAACTATAGTCAATAATTGGTGTGCAATGAGCATAAACTAATATCAATGGAACAAAATTTTCAATTTTGTATCCAAAAAAAAAGGACATGCTCTTGGAGGGGATCTCTCTTATGTGCAAAAGACATAAATACCCTCATTTTCATTAAAAAAAAAAAAATTGTCCAGTCCAATCCAGTCTCATTCAATGTACCAAACACAACTTTGCATACAAAACCAAATAGGTGATGAAATCTTATAAAAGAAAGAACATCAGAATCCTTAATCCTTGATGGTTTGGCATTAAATAAAAATCTTCTACGACTCTTTGTCAAGATTTGCATCAACTACAACTCATGTACTTGCCTTTTCCCTTTTCATTAGCTCCATAAAGTCATCAAATACTGCAATCACTCAAATATTAGGTGTTTACACAAATAAAGGAGCTAAATGCAAGAAACAAAGCAATACAAGTACAATGGTAAGGAATTATTTTTACTTGCGAATGATAAGGAAGAAGGGCATTGAATATTACCAAGGTCTGAATCATGGGGTCCAGGAGAAGCTTCCGGATGGTATTGAAGAGACATGAGTTTTTGTCGAGGGAAGGCAAGACCTGCACAGCTTCCATCATTCAGATTCACATGAGTCACTTCCACTCCATTTGGAAGTGATTCAGGATCAACCGCATAATTGTGATTCTGCAACAAACGTATTCCCCCCATTAATTAATTAATCATATTTATTAATAACAATAATAATAATAATAATATACAATACCTGGGCACTAATCTCAACACTTCCATTTCTGAGGTTACGAACAGGATGATTTCCTCCATGATGACCAAATTTCATTTTATATGTCTTCCCACCCAACGCCTGACCAAGCAACTGATGTCCCATGCAAATTCCAAAAACAGGAACCTTTCCGATAATACCCTTCACTGTCTCAACAGCATAAGGTACAGCAGAAGGGTCACCTGGTCCATTGCTGAAAAGCACCCCATCTGGTTTCATTTTAAGAGTCTCGGATGCTGGCCATGTTGAAGGAACAACCGTGACTTTACACCCATAAGATGCCAATCGCCTCAATATATTGTGCTTGATTCCAAAATCATATGCCACCACCTTCATAAACAGGGATTTAATAAATTCTTGTGTTTGGAATCGGATGACATTATAGTGATTTGAGTCCATTTATAAAAGAAACTCACGTGAAAAGTGTTGCCATGTCTTTTGTTGGAGTTAAAATCCCATTCCATATCGGTCTTACCAACCCATTCATAAGGTTTCTTGCAAGAGACGCTAGAAATTAAATCCACACCTAAAGAGAAATGGAATGGAGTTCAATGACAAAAACCGAATCGGATTTATTTAAACATATATAATGAGGGCATTTTGGTCTTTTAAGATAAGGTCATTACCAACAATATCCCATGTGCGTGACATCTCCAAAAGCTCTTCATCCGTCTTTGACTTTTCTGTGCTCAAGACACCGATCAGACTTCCATCTTCCCGTAACCTTCGGGTGATTGCACGCGTGTCAACATCATCTGACAATCCACAAATAACAATCAAAACCTATTCACATGTAAGTTGTAATTAATATGATGAAATAGAAATAGAAAAAACAAAATATACATATTCCCATGATGTTCCTTTTTGACAAATAGTCAGAAAGTGATTCCGTGCATCTCCAATTTGAAGTGCTGTTAATAATCAAAATTAGGTTAGGTTAAAATAAAGCCACGAAACAATGGAGGACAGAAATGAAAATCATACCTGATACTCAAACTTCTAATGACTAAACCAGCCAGGAAGCACTTGATTGATTCTTCATCATCTGTATGTAAACATATAATTCTTGTTCAGATCATGATCATGATGATTAAAATCTATTTTCATTCCCATAATCAAAAATACCCCTAGAAAGCTTGTACAAAAGCAAGCTTACATACCAATATTCACTCCAGTATTGCCAATGTGTGGGTTTGTCATCAGGACAAATTGGCCTGCATAGCTTGGGTCTGTAAGAATTTCTTGATACCTACAGCATATGGACACATATTATTGTTCAAAAGGTAAAATGCCAAGAAAAAAAAAAAAAAAAATCATTGCTTTCTATCTATTTACATCCTCATATATCCATATCTCACCCTGTTAATGAAGTATTAAATACAACTTCACCAACTTGAGTCCCAGAAGCACCAAATGATTTGGCTTTCCAAATGGATCCATCTTCAAGGACAAGTCTAGCATCTGAGACCTTCCAAGGAGCTATATAAACCTTCCATTAGCTTAACATATGTGAAGTTGTTTACAGATAACCAAATTTAGATAACTGGTAGAATTTTCAACTTGTTTAAACTTTAAAGAAATAATACCAGAAACTGGAACACCCGTGGAGGCAGCACCAGTGGAGCATCTCACAGTGAATGATCTAACTTGTAGTGATTTTGTAGTTGCAGGACTTGAGAGTATAGACTGATTAGTCACAGAAAGATACATTGCCTTGGTTGCCATTCTTGATATATTTCACTCACTTGCAAGAATATACAAAAATCAAAATCATCAATAAGTAGACAGGTTGACATAAATGGCTGCTCAAACTTACAATAATAATAAAAAAAATGCATGTTAGATAGAAGTGAGAAGTTAGCAGGTGGTTAACTAACATTTAACATAATTAATCTAATTTCCCTGACATCATCATAGATGGATAGTGAAAGGCATGTAGATTTCCAAATACAATGCACAAAATCATATATATGTATGACCACACAGAAAGCCGAAACGTGCTAATTGCTATTGTTAACAAAATAACCAGGAAGTCCATCAAAACTCCGGATTAGCTACTGGTACTCAAAATTGCTACTAAAAAATCAAGTTATGCTATTGGAAATTGCTACTGAAAAACTCAGGTTATGCAAATAACAGGAATGGAAAATAGTCAAGTACTAAGTTAGGCTGCTGGAAATTGCTACCGAATAAACACAGAGAAACTTATTCAAACAAACAAACAAAATTTCTACAAATAAACACAAAGAAATTTCTAGAAATTGCCACATAAATTTCTACTGATTCTAGCCGGAGATGGAAGGTGACGAGGGTTTCAAGGAGGACAAACAAACAAACACAAAGAAAAAATGCATACCTGCAATCGCCGGAGAAGGTGGGACCTTCGACGACGGTGTGGTGGCGTGGCTCGGCTAGTTAAGTGCCGTGGGCGTCGGTATGTTGATGGCTGCCGGGTGGATGGGGATTAACTGATGAAGTGAAGAGCCGAAGACGAAGCCGTCAGGACAAAGAAGGAAGAACCTAGGGCACGCTTTCAGTGTACCAGTGAATTTCTTTTTTATACGTATCTTTAAATATTATTATACAATAATTTTTAATTCACCATTAATGGTGTGTTTTAATTTTATGTTTTCCATCCTAATATAAAATTATTTACATCATCTTCCACAAATAAAATTTAAATATAATTATATTTAATTATAAAATCTTTAAATTCAGTAATTATTTTATCAATTGAAAAACATCATTCTATTTATATATGATATTAGTTTTTCTAATTAATATTGTTCCTAATTTAACTTCATTATTTATAACTTTTGATTTTCAAGTTCAAACCCGTTTATATATATATATATATATATATATATATATATATATATATATATATATATAAACTCATTAAACAAACATATCAATAATTAAATAATTAAGTTATTAATCTATAAAATCTAATCTAATCCCATTAAATCAACAAAATATTTAAGAGTCAAAATTAAAATCAATATTATTCATAATTTATCTCTCAGTATATCTCACATAAAATGAATCAATTTGAGATAATTGTTTGAATTTTAAAACTGATTAAATAAGAAACCGTGCATGGAAAATCAATATATGTTCATACTATTTGCATTTGATACGTTTGGTTTCCTTACTTCGGATGCACTAGAACTTCTTAGTAGACTACAACGGATCATGCATATCAATGTTATATCCCCTAGATCTATGGATGTAATATTCAAAAGAATTGGCTTTACCATACAAAAGGGCTTATCAGCGTAACTTGTTATCCGTTTGCCTTCTCATTCG